TATTAGATGGACAGGCTGAGGTATGCATAGTTCCTTGAAGGCACATTACGTCGGGGCATACTAGATGATGAGAGATGATGAAGAAAGGCCACATATAATATATGTCATATATTAAGGGACATGATCGTATACGACCTTCTCCGTTTCCGAAGAGGCCTGCCTGCTGGACGACGTCTCCTTCTGCAAAGCATCCCCCGTATACGTGCCAGACGAGGGCTAACAAGGGTAGGTCTTCGCCTTCGGTTGCCCGAATTTCGAGTCATCTTACGGTGGCCTCTACCACGCGACGTAGACGCATTCGGGTTCATGTGGGAGTGCTGGACACCACCGATTTGGTGGCACCAAAACAGGCATGTGCTCATGCGTGCCCCATAAAAATGAGAGTCGATAGCCAGAGCGCGCGCTGGTCGACCCATATTTCGCAACCCTAAAATCACCTACTTGGCAATTCTTGTGCAGAAGACCAACTTGGCGGGACCTGTCTATGTGCAGTTATTGCCAATACTGAAGTTGGCGGAATGAGAACAACACGCAGATTGCTGCACATCTGTTGAATTTTGCAGAATCCACCAAATCTTAGTCCAAATCAGTTGTAGAGTAACGTATTTCATCACATTGTTGTAATCTGTTCCAACACTGGTATCACCTATAATTCCTGTCATTAGGCCTGCGAATCTGTTTGGCGTCATTTTGGCGATTTCTGAGTTGGCGAAATCTGATACAGCCAGCGCTACTCACGTGAGTATCGCGTACGCCCAGAGTCGGAGCCGAAGCATCGTCAATCGTATCGGCTGAGCAACACACCACTCGGATAGATCTCGGATCCCGATACATGCCTTGTAGAGTAGCATGAAGTTCTCTATCACGATACAGGCTTCCTCGGTTTAGCCCCTTCATCCCTTCCTCTAATGAGAAGAGTAATGGTAATACATCAATCGGCGTGGGTGGGGAGGAGCCTACGTCTACTACATCTGGCTGCCACCTCCGCAGTGACAGCCTAGGGGCGATAAAGCTCGTTGATAAGCTTCTTGAATGGTTCTGGACTTGCCTGGTAAGATTACCAGCCTTCCCGGTGAAATTATGAACCAGGCTTCCATATTGATCCACTCAGGATAGCATTGGGTCCAGTCCAGGCAAGCACGTCCCTACCAGAGCCGCACGGGTCTTCCTACTGTAGACTCCTGTTGATGATAGATAGGCCTCACTGACGTCACCATCATGGAAACGGTTAACATACTACATAGTATAGTAACAAGACGACAAATGCCGGGTTAGTGACCACCGATGAAAAGGACCGACTGCCTCTGGACAGTCCAGGGTCATCTAATTCACCCACCATCCAAACTGAGGGATATTATGATAAGGGGATACATTCGCCCTTCGGAGCTTTCCTATAGGGTAAATGGTGATACCATAGCGAGATCAAGGATGCCAGCAGAGGAGGGGTCCACCCTTTTAACGACTCGAGCTCGACAAGGAAGCACAGAGACACTCACACAATGGTATCAATTAGACTTGAGATGATCAAGAAGTGTATAGTCGAACCCGGGCGTTTCCATGTACCTACGCATACACTCATATTACAGTCATTGCACACTTATACTCCCTAGGGTAAATATACGCAATCTTGCATATAGTTTATTATTGTATTTCGGACGGGTCAGTTCGTCCCCTTCCTCCTATGACATAGTCACGATTATCAACCAGAAAGCATTGTTACGTCATTAGGTTCGGCATTCTACCACATAAACGGTCACTGAGCGCAGAAATAGAGTTTCATCCGTTTCACGTAAAGTGGTATAATACTCTGTGAAAAACCCGATATTCGCGATATGCAGCAGTCGTGAAATATATTTTTCACTAGTGTTTTTCATATCACTAGGGTGAAACTCCAATATATAAATCTCATACGACAGAATAATAACACCACCGGCGAATATAGCGTAGTACTTACGCGTGATATATCAAATAGACATGATAGGCTCCCGGAATAAAACAGATGGCACCTGGGAGGAGAACAAAACCAATAAATCACAATTCCGCATACCCAGAGTAGAAAAAGGTATGGCCTCCCAAGTGCTGATCTGCCAGAACACCTTGAGGCTAATGAGCAGGAAAACGATTCCAATGATGAAGAGGAAAAATGCCTGTAGTCCAGGAATAATCCAGGTTAGCATATATAACACGCTGACCAGTGCAACACTTTTCTGGGGTAGAGCTGGTCGGCGCAGCGGTGGCGGCTCGGCTAGGGAGAACTTAGGCTTCCGTGCTTCGGCACAGTCCATCTTGGACATGACCAAAATCGACACTCTACCTTCACACTCCTTGAATTGACAACTCAACAACAGAATCAGCAAAAGAGATGCCATACACGTGTTGAAACTATAAATTGATGAATGTGCTAACCTAAACCATTTCGCCATTCTGACTTCTGAGGGCAATTTTCTGCAGGGAAGAAAGCCGCTTGTCCTTGTTTGTCTGACGCACAATAAATCGTCGTCCCAGCATACTTTCCACCACTACCCTCCACTCCTCGAACTTGTCTCTGCCAGTAGCGTTCTTAACATAATACTCGAAATGACTAAACCTGAAATAGCAGTTAGATGTCCTCTTCACCACTACAGCTAGAACGGCCACCTCTTGCCTAGATAAGTGTACTCAGTATAGTAACCTAGAGTATAGTATACTCATAATCATGAGACTAAATTGTAAACCAAATGACCTCAACTTTTGGCCAATAATACTACGCCCTACAGCCAGTTCTACCAGTTCGGAACAGCTTTACAAATAATCATTCCCTGAGGGAGCTTCGCTTCGCCATGGATCAGACTGAGTGCCTTGGCCATCTGAACAGCTTGAGACTACCGATTGGAGTCGGTAGCTCACCTACCTCTGTTAACCTCTGGGGTTCTCTCAGAAAGTACTGACCAAATACGAGCTCACCCGTCCTATGATTCATCCTAAGGTTACTCACTACTGTTCCCATTCAACTTAAGCAATTACGCATAGAGCCTCCTATAACCGGACGGATCACAGAACAGCTGATAGTAGTCCAGATGAGCCTCCGTGAGTGCCAAGACCTGCTCTTGATGCGCCTGGCTTTCCCGATGCTTCTGAGGGGAAATCTACTGAGATTCAATCATGGGAAGATGAAGATCCAACCTCAAACTGCTCTCCTATAGTAAAAGTGTCGCACTCGGCCATACGGCTAAGATCTCTACAACAGAGTTGACATACTAACTCGCCGTCTGTAATGAATGTAAATCTGCGAATAACACAGATTAATACCGGAGTCGGGCACATGCAAAAACTGCAATGGTTTTTTCCTCAGAAATCGATTGCGGACAGTTTCCATACAATATTGGTAATATTATATTACTACATAAGTCTCATTTTTTACGCAAGAGGGAAAAATTTCAGCTCCGGAGTCGTTTCTCCAGAACGACTATTTTCTGTCTCTATATGACGCGTACTATACCAACCTGAGCCCAACTTATCACTTATTCAAAAATTCGGCCTCCTCTTCCTCCTCAATCACACTCTTTACTGTCGAGACCATGCCCTGCCCCATAGAAGGTAAGACTGACTGATGTCCCAAAGGACGGCTCCATATCGAGCCGGGGACACCAGTCGGCCCTTCCTCTACCGCCGATGAGCCGCCTGGTGGCACGGCAGCTCTCGGCGCTGCTGAGAATTGCCGAAGATTCTCCAAACTTGTGTGAACAGCTTACCTGGTCGAGGGCCCCCTGGGGGTAGGGGCACTTTACTCTTCGCTTGCATCAGCGATCTTGGCATAGCCGATGCTGTAAAGTGGGCGACTGGGGTTCTTCGCCTACACCAGTGTTGGAATACATGTTTAGTTTCCTCAACTGAGCTCGGGAATTTCCTCACTAACTAAAGAGATTTATATACGTTTTCAGGTAGGAATAAACAAAAACCAACAATAATTTCTAAAAATGTCATCACAATTTTCATATTATCACCGCCGCATTCTCCCACCCTGGCCTATACATTTGAAATGGACCCTGACGACGAACAAGGGCTTACCTAGCGCATCCCATACCCTTAACAAGATTCCTCTGATGCCGCTTCTGAACCAAATGTTGGTCTACAGAAATATCGTCCCAATGGGTCGTCCCGCACAGGCCACCTGATCCCAATATCACCATACCACACTTTGCGGTAGTTCAGTTACATTTCCACTCCTTATACCCACCACTATCTACAATGTCTATATATTGCGTCCAGCTCGTGTAAGGCAAATGGCACCTCATAAGGCTGGTGAGCGATCTTTCACGGTCCCACTTTCTTGGTGCCGAGATGTGCATCGAAATCTAAGACTATCTCCGCTTGTTCCGGCCCTCCACCCTGACGGTAGCTGAAACAAAGCACATGGTTTCTTATATATAAATCTAACAAAAATAAATCATTAATTAATATACAGTATAACAATATAATTATATCTATAAGATATCGTATTACGTTTACCCCTATAATACGGCGGAAGAGACACAGAGATCATACCGGGGCAGTTTGTAGTTATCACAGTTTTTCTGATGGTTCTGGCCTAGCATATGACCCTCGACAGACGCTACTGAGACGATCCTACAGCAACAGCAAACTTGGGAATACGGCCTTCCGAACGCCCCTCCCAAGAAAATCTCACATCGCAGAATTGCAAAGTTCGCACCACCAGCCATTTTCGCAAACACAAAGGTACCTGCGGCAGCAATCATTCAAGACAGGAGAGAGCCTTACTGTGGCCATCCATAGGAGACGTCCCCTCTGGCAAGAATCTTGCTACCGTCGCTGGCCTTCTCACCATCCTTTCCTCGGGCTGCTGCGGTAGCATACACGTCACTATCTCCACCCGCTGCTGAACTGCTCTCAGAGGTAGACTGAATACCACTCCAATGTGAACTCTTGAATAAAGCTATAACAGCATTACTGAGTCACCCGGCCTAGGAGGCAATACGTCAACAACATACCATTCTGGGCAGCTGACTCGCTTGGCGTGGTCCTGCTAGGTTCATGATATAACGCAGGAAAGGCTGAGCACAGATCAGCACCTTAGAGCCAATATGAATCTCGAGCATCTCAAAAGTGGCCGACTTCTTCTTACAAAGACGACAGTAATACCACCCTGCCTCTTCCCCTGAGTCAAAGCCATATCGATTAACACATAATCATCGACTACTACCCTCAACGTAGTTTTCCTCTCCCTTTTCCCCGGTGAAAATGACGTAGTTCTCCCTCATCACACGTTCCTCTTTAGCACTAGCAGCGACGACAGCCCTGTGGTTGCGCCGCTCCTGCCATTTTTCTGCAAACGACGAGCATTACAGTCGCTGCTCCCTCTTTCAGAGTTGATGATATTATTACGGTTTTGCTCCCACTGGTCTCTCTTTTCCTTCTCGATGAAAGCCTTGGCGTACTGTTTCTGTCCAGCCTCATCCTGATGACAACCACAGTGATCACCATGGAAAGACCAAGATCTACCTTTTTCTTCTCCACTCCATGCGTTCCTCTAGTGAGAGACTACCCAAGTAACTGTCAAACGCTGTTAACTATACTATATACTTCTTATGGCAGCTCACCCGGGCTCCTG